GCCGCTGCCATGCAATTTCTGTTCTCATCCTGAAGCAAAGTTCTTAACCCGAGGTACTATTTCTGGGTTAGCGGAGTCTGCAACCTGAAGCATCTGTAACCTGAAGCGTCTGAAACCCGAGGTATCACTGTATGAACTTTCATGTGCATGCACACTTCTTCAGATACACTGTAACAGAAGTCACCAGACCCTTATATATAGTGAGAGGGTGGGGAGGGGTATTACTCAGAAGGGTGGTGGGAATGGATAATTGGCTGATAGGTGTGGTAAACCTGTTGATGACTGTTAAAGACTGCAATTGGTCTTACAGGAAAAAAACAAAGGGTGAGAAGGCTAAAAATAGCTTTATCATGTATAATGAGATAAGAATCCAATGTCTCTATTCAGACCAGGTCTCTCCATGGTTTTAAGTTTGGTAATAAGTTGCAATTTGGCAACTTCTCTTTCCAGTCTTCTCTGAAATTATTTTGTAATAAGATGATGATGATGATGATGATGATGATACGCTTGCAGACTCTGTAAAATTTGTATAGACACTTGGAGAGTCAGTGGTCTTTCATTTTGTGACCTTGGCAATTATCAGCACTGCTGGAGATCTTTACTGCTTCCTTCCTTGATGTTTGAGGTCAATTTTTACTGATGTTAATGGGAAACATTTTTTTATGACCTCATTGGTCTGGGAGCTGGTGGCCGGTACTGTGTAAGGAGGGGCAAGTCTGTCAGTTTTGGTTTCTTGCCATTTCTCAGTTTTCCAATCTGAAGTTTACATCTCCATAGTTCCACATCAGTTTGCAAGTTATTTATTTATTTATTTATTTATTGTCATGGAAATATGTCAGCAATTTAGTGCACATTTCTCCTAATATAGATGTTTTCTTGCACGTAACTTTGCCTAATAATTGCAAAGCAATTTCCCCCTAATATAATTCATGTTTGTATTTATTTCAATGCGACCAAAATTAACAAAATGTATGCACCACTTTATTGCAGTAAAACCTCTAAGTGGCTTGCAAGAAATATTAAAATTACCAATAAAAACATTTCAAAACAATTAAAAAAAACTTTTTCAAATAATTAAAGTTAACAGTAAAGTGGATTAAAACACATCAGTGTCCACGTGTCTGCATAGGCTTGCCTAAACAGATACATTTTAAGCTCGCACCAAAAAAGTGCGCGGTAAAGGTGCCTGCCTGATTTCAATAGGCAGGGAGTTCCAAAGTGTGGGTGCTCCCACATGGAAAGATCAGTTTCTAACAACTCTGGAATGAGTATTATTTGTCACCTGTAGGACTGCCGATTGTGCAGACTGAAGCGGTCAATATGTTTTCACTAAAATATGCATTTTGATGCTCACTTTGCCTTGCTGTACGCATTTGTGAATCAAAGTATATGCTATGTTCTCTTCTGTATTATGATATCGGCTGCTTGGATTATTTTATTGTAAGATGCTTTGTACCTTTTGGGTGGGAGAGGGAAGCAACCTAATAGATAGATAGATGGATAATAGATAGATAGATGGATAGAGAGCCAGTGTGGTGTAGTGGTTAAGAGTGATAGACCCGTAATCTGGTGAACCGGGTTCGCGTCTCCGCTCCTCCACATGCAGCTGCTGGGTGACCTTGGGCCAGTCACACTTCTCTGAAGTCTCTCAGCCCCACTCACCTCACAGAGTGTTTGTTGTGGGGGAGGAAGGGAAAGGAGAATGTTAGCCGCTTTGAGACTCCTTTGGGTAGTGATAAAGTGGGATATCAAATCCAAACGCTTCTTCTAGATAGAGGCCATGACGTTGATTGGGTAAAAAAAGGAAATAAGCCCAAACTGGAGAGCTGCCATTTACAGGAACTTCTTATGGAGTCCTGCTGCAGAAGAGGGTAGGCAGTGGAAAGAGTGGGGAGAAGAATTAATTCTGCTGGAGTGGCTCTCCAGTGAAGGAGGAGGTGGAGAAAACAACTTCTTAAAAAGCAAGTGGAATGTCCCCTCCTAGCCTGCAAAACTTGGAGTGAACAACCAATTGACTCCTCCGCTCAGAAGCTTATTTCTTGCTCTTCAGCCCTCCCTGCCTCTTCTCTCTTCCAAAATGTTATTATCTATCACTCTTCTGGCATGAAAAGGGCTAGGAGCTTCTCCCCATTCCTCTCGTACCACTGATAAGCATGACAGGACATGGGGAACCAGGGATGGGATTCATATTTCGAAGTGTTTGAAATGCCATTTACATGTTGCCAGGTGCTGTGAATTTTGATTAGCTCTGGCAGGGACGTTGCTGAGCAGGGGGCTGGGGTGGAGGAAAAAGAAAGAGCCTTGTGTATTGTTGCCTTCATATCTGATGCAAATCAAACAAAAGGGCACGTTTTGAACCTTTGGCTCCTTAAGATCTGGCCAAGGAAGAAGGAGAAGGAGACGAAGGAACAAAGGCAACAATAAGGCGCCGGTCCTGATTAGGACTCCCAGCACGGCAGCAGTGGGGGAATTCTCAAAGCTGTGTAGTATCCACAAGGGACGGGAAAGGAATTAAAGGGAAACTTGTCATTCTGAGCATTTTCTTTCCCTTTCATTGGACTTCTGTGAGATGGTTCAAGTAGCCTTCTTTAAGCCAGATGGGTGTTCCTTTGTAGGAGCCAGCGGGTTTTATGAGGTTGCTTTTTGTTCTTCTTGCAAACACTGTTTTCTTGCTCTATTTTCCAACTTCCTTCTACAGGAATAACCAGATTTTTGTTCCCACACACATGCCGGAAAGGGAATCATCCTGGCCAGCACATTGTGTTTTCTTCCACAGCGATCAAGATCCAGGCTGCATATGCACCATGCATTTAAAGCGCATTGCTTCCCCCGAAAATAATCATGGGAACTGTAGTTTGCACCTCATACAGCTACAAATCCCAGCACCGTTAACAAACTGCACTTCCCAGGAAGTAATCTGCTTCGAATACATATGCAGCCCTGGATTTTTGACTCCCAAAGCATCCCATTTACATGAAAGATTATAAAAACAGTTACATCTAATTTGCCCTCCGATGCTACAACAATCTGTGATTACCCACATTCAAAGCAAAAGAGCGGGGAAAAGCTTCTTTGTTTGCTGCTAGAGATAGATGTTGCCAACAAACGACATATCTGAATATATGTTTTTGAGATCACTGAGGGGGAAAGAAGTGACCTGACGTGGAAGATGTTTCACAGCCAACTTACACCACCTCCCCAACTACAAATGAGAATAGCTTTTGAATGGGGAGCAATAGCTTTTGACTGTGCTTCTAAATAAGAAACAGTGCACAGTTTCCAGGCACCCTGTGCAATAACGGACACATCACAGCAACTTAGGAACTTTGTAATAATTCCCATTAGCGAGAAAATTATATGCCAGCAGGTAAGGGTCCCAAGCACAGGATGCCAGGCAGCATCCAGGAAGGCAGAAACAGCTGTGGAAATCAATAGGAAGGTTTTAAGTTCCTGAAGCATCACATTACCTAGGAGGAAGCATCACTTTGATGGGGACAGCTGCCTCTGCATTTCAATGAATGATGCCACTGCATGGCAACACATTTTGTTTGGGCTTCATTTTGGGTACACCTGAAACGGCACGCTTGGGAGTTTACTTCAGAATTACATTGCTCTGCCGCCTTGCAGGATGTGAATCTTTGTCAGCGGAGAGGCCGGTGCCCTGTGCTCATCAAGGTGCCTGCCAGGTACTGGGTACGTGAGGCTGTCTGTGCAAAACAGTCGGCATCCTGTATCCTCCCTGACAACGCAGGCTGGGCTGATTGACAGTGACAGCTTCCCCGGTGCACCATTAGCTGCAGCGCTGCCAGACGGCCTGTGCTCACTTGATCTCTGCGTTTGCCATCTCTGCCGCATGGAAGGCAGCGGGGTTGTTTTAGAGGTGTTCATGCTCCGTACCGATGCTGGGCTAATTACTGGCAACTGGTTCACCAGGCGGGCCTTCAAGGCTCCCAGGATAACGGCAAGAGAGGCAGGGACTTTCTGAATGTCCTTTTCTTAATTTAAAGGGGGCACCGCCACCACCAGCATTCCAGAGCATCACGTACCGTTGCAGCTCAGTGTATGTGAATTGTTTCTGTGCTTCCTGCTGACTATAATGGGAAAGAGAGAGAGATGAGAATCCCTTTGGAGAGCCATGGATTCTGATCCACTTCTGCCATTGATTCTAAAAGCATCACTATGGAGTTTAGTGGGACTTACAGTCTGATCCTATGAACACTTACTGAAATTCAACTCCTACTGCAGCCCTATCCTATGTATGTTTACTCTATGTATGTATGTGTGATTTTGGCTGAAATCAGCACTTGCTTCTGTGGGGCTGCCGTGTTGGGGACTTTGGCCACCTGAGGCAGCCGTCTCAGTCTGCCTAATGGCAGAGCCGGCTCTGATTATTATTGTATAATTGTAGAAGGTTGTGTAATCTTAGGAGGGGGTGTGGCTGTGACTATTACAAAGGGAGCCTGCACTTCTGAATTTGCCAATGCACTAGGTTGCTATTGTAGGTTGTTGTGAAGAAGACAATATTTGCAGTGCCTTGCACTCTGGGGAAGGCTTGGTCATGAGCATATTGGAGCCAGCTGCCCACTCAGAGCTCCACTAAAAGCAAGTGGGTTGGGGATTTGCTTTTAAAAACCGGACAGAGCTTTATCGGTCAATTAATCAGGATGGATAATGAGTAAATTAAAGGGCAGAGTCAAGAGAGGTTGCCAGATAGAAAACCAATACATGCAGGCTGAAAATGTATGCTGGGCAGCAGTTGGGGCTGGGGGAAGGAACCCTGTCATCCCCCCAGGACTGCATTGAAGAGCAGAATCCAGGGTGAGAATGGTATGGGCCAGGAAGGGATAATAATCACGATAATGATGATAATGTTATTATTTGTATCCCACCCGTCTGACATGGAGTTGACTCAGAGTATTGCTGCATGTAGCTTGGCACTGTGTACACCAGCAAGCAAAAGCTCTAGGGGGTTTTAAGCAGGGGGCAGTCCCATCCATACTTGGAGATACTAGGGACTGAACTTGGGACCTTCTGCATGCAAAGCAGATGCTCAAACACTGAGCTAAGATTCCCACCAGACTCCAGAGATTTAATGAATTCTAGGTAGGATTCTAGGTGGAGTTTTAGTGTGTCGTATGTGCTATGTTTTCATTGTCTCACAGCCATCCAGTATTCCCTCAGCACGACTTGTTTGAAGCTCATTCTGATTCCTTCCCTGGAAACATCCCCTTTCAAGTGATGGCTTTTCTCCCATCACAAATGCCTTCCCCTGGAGAGGAGGCAGCATCTCTCAGTATCCCACACCACCAAATTTCATTATACACTGTGCGTGGGACCATTCCTGGGTGACTTGCTCACCCTAGCTGCTTTAGGCATCACTTGAGAAGGCAGCAAAAGTGTGCGCCGTTTCTCTGGAAAACAAACACACAAACAAATAGCCTCCGAAATAATTTCGCATGCAAGAAGGAAAGGAAACTTTCCTGCTGTCCTACTCATGACGGATTTTTCTCTGTGTGCATATTCCATACAAACCATTAAATAATGTCAAACCTCGGCATTGTCTGAGCTAGCATCCTTCTGGCCATTTGGTTCAATTTAGAAGAGGTTCTGGCGGTTAAGGCCTAAGAGAATAGTTCACTTGGAAATGCCTGAAGTCAGTTTTAAAAGAAAGCGGCTCACTGATAACAGTGAACACTGGCAGCCACTCATTTTTACCTCACCTAAGAGGGATTTGCAGGTTTTTGCATTGTTTCAAAAGCCTACCCAACCTGTTTCACCAAGGGGTTAGAGTGTGACAAAATACAATGTTTTACCATTAATAATAATAATAATAATAATAATAATAATACCTCCCTTCACCCAAAGATCCCAGGGAAGGTTACAACATTAAAAGACATTATTAAAAACAAAAGCAACTTACAATCATAAAAATAAGGTGGGTCCTTGTGAGAACAAAGTCTCTTTCAAACCACACCCAATTGCTTCAAGCAAGCAAGGAAACACCGGAACACACCATAGGAGAAAGGGGGATCATAGAATTGTAGAATTGGAAGGCGCCTCAAGAGTTATCTAGTCCAGTCCCCTGCAATGTAGAAATCTTTCACCCAACTTGGGGCTCAAACCCAGAACCCTGAAATGAAGAGCACTGTGTTCTACCAACTGAGCTATATTTCAGTATTTATCACTGCAATACCATCTTTTTACTTCCTGGCAGGATTCCTGTCCCTTTAACACGATAGGCAGAAATTCAGGAGACCAGCATTTCTCAGGCACAGAGATGCAGCGACAGAGAGCTTTACTGATTGAATTTCTGCCTGGCACTCATATTGTTAGCCTTGCAGCCTAAAGGTGTTGCACAAGTTTCCCCTCTTTTGACTACCAAGTGCACATTCCTGTTTGATCCTATCCTCTCCCTTCTCTCTCTCTCTCTTTCTCTCTCTCTCCGCCCGTCTCTCTTCCCCAACAATTTTCCATGTGTTGCACTACTTTTGTTTTTTCCCCTGAGCAGCGGGCCAAGAATCATTGTGTTTGCAGGAAGTCTCATTACAGAGCACAGTGTGTTCTTCTGCCCTCTCGCACCATGCCGCATACGGACAGGGCCACACACTGCGTTCCCCCCTGCCGACAGCAAGCTGCTATGGCACCAGATTTGCTGGCGGCTTATAGCTTCAGTCAGCATTTGCTGCTAATGAACCCGCTTGCTTCCTCCTGGAGAGGTTTAGAGAGCCATAATCACTCCCTGCGGCTGCGCACTGTGGCTTTGGGGCTGGGAGGTGGCTGAGTTAAGGAGCTGGAGGGAGAGAATCTGCAAGAGCCAGGTAAATGCACCTGTCCTATGGCTGCTGTTGTTGTTCCAGGTGCCCTTCTTGAACACAAAAAACTGCTCAGGGAGTTCTAAAGATCCTGCACCCCAGACCTAATTGTCCTTTATTCCTGAAGGCATATACTGAAGCAATTATCACCTATTCTTGCTTTTGCACTAAAACTGAGTAAGAAATCAATCTTTGACAATGGCGCCACCCACACTTTTGAACTTCTTGCCTATTGACATCAAGCAGGCAGGCTCCTTCACTGCACTCTTTTCAGCACCTGCTAAAAACATTTTTGTTTTGATGATGATGACCACCATCATCATTTATCCACCTTTCACTCTTAAGGACCCAGGATGGGTTGCAACATTAAAACATAATGTTAAAAAAGTTTAAAACAACTAATAATTATAAAAAATAAGATGGATCTTAAAAAATATAAACCTCAAGCCAATCTAGACATGTAGAATGTTGACGTCTGTTTTAATCTGGTTTTTAGCTTATTGTTGTTTTTAATTATTTTTGAATGCTTTAAATTGCTATTTGTAACGGTGTCGTTGTGTTTTTTTGCTGACAATGTTACTGTTTTCTTCTTTTTGTAAAGCGCTTTTGTAAATCACAAGTGGCGTATAAATCTTGAGAAGTAAATAAATATATACTTGTGCCAGTGTTGTTGCTGTTGTTTCAATACTTGGTTTTTCATTGATGGCCTTCCTCACCATTTAGAACATGCATATCAATAGGTTTATGGTGTGTAACCATGTTGCTTTTAAGCACTGGAGAGACAGCTTTAGAAATACATCAACCCCCCCCCCCCAAAAAAAAAAAAATGCCAGAAGAAATTGGCAGAATCACAGTATTCCAATCTGGAGAGTGGGGTGGTGGCCAGTGGATTTTTCATCGGGGGGGGGGTGCTGAATCAATGCCCTTTCAGAATGGGTTTCAGATCTTAAACCCTGGCTTCAGGACTCAGTGGAAATCTGGTGTTTTCTCACTGGTGTTGCTGGTTTTGGCAGACTTCTGGAGCACTGCGGCTGCCCATTGCCCACTGGGCCCTCTTCCCCAAACGAGGTATAATAATACCAGCACTAGGGATGAAGGCGGAATCTGTTTTAAATATATTTATACATGGAATTTGATGCTTATGGTGATACAACCAAGCTTTGCCTGCCTTGGGCCACTCGTGTACGTACTTTCTTTTTAACCAACTAATTATATGCATAAAATACATACAAAACTCTCGAAGCCCCATGCAGTACTATATTTCTGCAGCACAATTTCCTAAGTATCAATATATAATTACTATTTTCACACAGTTGGGTGCAACATTGTGCGTATCTGTTTCTGTGCTGACTGCTTTAGGAAACCTGGAATGCACGTGCATAGACGATACAGAGAACATGACATGTTTAATATTGTGTACAATTGTGTGTTTAATAATGTATGCAGTATGCATGGACTGTTTGGTATTTTTAGCAGAAGCATTTTTTTAAAAAACCCCTCACATTTCTTTGAGATAAAGGAGTGAGATGGGAATTAGAAAATACTTGTGCAGATATGTTGCACATCAAGACTTTCAGGAACACCCACTGTCAGGGACTGGCTAGATGAGAAGGAGTGGGGGAAACCGCCTGACCAAGAGCTTCCAAGGCAGCAGCGGAGGAAGTCACATGGGTGCCTGGGGCAGCACACCCAGGGACGGGGTGAGCTGCCCATAGGGGTAGGGCGAGGGTGGGGCATACCGTGGGGCCTCCCACTCAGCCGCCCTACACCTGGGGGGGGAGGCAGTGGGTAGACCGTTTGGGCAGAGCGGAGCCTGCGTGCACCCAAGCCAGTGTGTCTCTCCCAGGAGAGATGCATGTCTCGGGCACGCTGCAGGCCCCGCGGTGAGTGCTACCCACCTGGCATTTTGTTACCCCCCTCATTGGTGACACCCGGGGTGGACCGCCCCCACCGGGCCCCCTTCCTCCACCACTGCTCCCAGGGAAAGCATAGAGCAGGCATAGGCAACCTCGGCCCTCCAGATGTTTGGGGACTACAATTCCCATCATCCCTGATCACTGGTCCTGTTAGCTAGGGATCATGGGAGTTGTAGGCCAAAAACATCTGGAGAGCCGAGGTTGCCTGCGCCTGGCATAGAGAAAGAAGATATGGAGCCAGACTCTTGGTGGTGGACAACCGGACACACCCCATGTCAGAGGATTATAGGCAGGAGAGCTGATAAGGTTGCTACACAGAAAGCTCTGTGGTTGCAGGATCTGGTTGCAAGAATGGGAAGTGACGGAGATAACTCAGGGGGAAGTAGGAGAAAAACTTAATTGGGAGCATCTTCACTCTGAGAATGGCTGCTTTAGTCCTTTTCTGTGATCATTAAACACTCTTAAACTGGTAAAGGACTCTAATTGCTTTGTTCTGGTGATGCATGGCCAAAGGGGGGGGGGGAGCCATTTCCCTGATGCCTGACACACCAGAAGAGAGGAAGAGCTGGGAGGTACTGGGAAAGGAGTGTAATGGGTTTAGGGGTTGCTCGTGCGTAAGTTGCCGCCACTCCTGGCTAGGTTACCTGGTTAACCCTTTCTGACTGAACAGCCTCCAGCATCGTGACTGTCTCAGTCGCTGGCAGAATCCGTCAGTGGGCGTTTCTTAAACTTTTTCCAGCACAAAAGTTCCTTGACGCCAAGTCTCCTCCTACTCTCCCTGCGCGGAAGTCTTCTGCGCAGGGAGGGTGTGGGCAGTGGAGTACCCGTACTCTCTCCGCTGGTCTCCGGAGGGCGAGGAGTCTTGGAGCCTCCTCCCCGATTCCCCCATCTGCCCCCCTTCTCTACTGGTGTTACTCTGATTTCCTTCCCCAGCAGACGGGCTCCCTCTCTCCCTACTGGGACCCTCTCCACCATCCCTTTGGAGCCTCCCCTCCGCTTCCAGCTCCGATGGCAGTTCCCTGACAAGGAGGAAACAAGCAGGTGCCCCAGCATGGAGCAAAGGCAGAAGTCAGCAGCTTCATCACAAGCTCCTCTTGATGGTGTGTCTGTTGACAGACTGCCAGCTCCTCCTCCCACTCCCAGAACAAGGTGTTTACTTCACATAACAGAGCATAGAGCAAAGCAGAGATGGAGGGGGTCCCTTGGGACTCTCCGTAGACAGAGGGAGGGGCCTGACACAGAGGGAATAGAATGAAGTGGGAGGTGCAAGACTGTCTGAGCAACAGCGCACTATAAGGGAGCATATCTCATGAGTCTCCCTATGTTTCCTGTTTGATTCCTTAAT